TCAGCGGGTCAGCCCCGCCCCGGCCGGCCCGCCCGCTTCTCTCTTGCAGGATCTACTGGGGCTGTTTCTACTTTTTCCCCTGGCTGCGAATGTGGCGCAGGCAGAGGAGGTGAGGGGGCTGCGACCCCGCGGGCCGGACGGGGCATGGAGGAGGCTCAGTTTCGGTGCGCTGGCCGGGGAGTCCGGCGCCCCCTCCCTGCCTCATGCCCGTGCCGGTCGCCCTACAGCTCGGCGCACCCCCGGGAGCAGAAGCTGGAGCCTCTGCGGGGCCTGATGAGCTGTCTGTCCAGCGGCCTGGGCCCTGCTCCCCAGCGCTCGGGTCGTGGCCTCCTCTGCCGCACGCCCGCCGCCGCTGTGCAGCCAGCTGGTGCATTAAAGATTTAAAGCCAAGCCCTCAGTACTGCCTTCCTCACTGTGCCGCCTCTGCCGCCACGTGCCCTGGGGGCCCCTCACACTTGCTGCTTCCTTACTGGGGTGCGGGGGGGCTCTCTCCCCGCCAGGGTGCCCTTGCAGGTCAGGGGTCGCGGCATTTCTGAGAGCCCTCGCCAATGCCAGCCTTCCTGTTGCTGTCAGTGACTGCCTCCCTGCCCTCGCCTTCCTAAACTCGTCACTGGTAGGGACCTACAGGAAGACAACCAAATAACCCTGGTCTGATCTCCCGGACCTCCCATCGATACGTCTGCGGCCCTGGCTCCCCTTCACCACCTTCCTGCTAGCCAAGACTGCCAGGTATCTGAAGACTCTTCCCTTCTTCAGAGTGAATCCGAAACACTTTAAGCCAAGGTTGTAGGGTGTAGACGATCATTGAGAAGAGGGGAAGATTCCCAGAACTGCCTCCCATGTCCTGTCTCTGAAGAGCAGTGCGGGTGGAGGGGCCTTTCCTACAGTGACTCCCAAGCTGCTTCCTCCAGTCTGATCCCAATTCTGGAGATACTTGCCATCAGCCAACCTTGAAGTTTCTGTTACTTCTCTAGCAGAGTATTGCTTCCTGCCGGCCCTTTTTGTCATGTTGGCTAATCAGCCGGAGACCCACTAACGCCTGACATGGTGAGAGTCGGGGTCTGCTGTGTGCCTGCTTCCAGTTAGACCTGGCTCCGGAATTAAATTACAGAGACAGCCCAGTTTCTGTCTGGAGCCAGTGTTGATTTTTCAGCCTGGGGCTGCTCCTGCCACAGTAGATGGTGGCTGGAAAGAACTTGGCCTTATTTCTGGAGAAACTAAAGGGGACAGATTTGTTTTCTACCTTTCAGAGGTCTCTGGACTGACAGTCCAGGAAAGACCACGAAGTATGTGGCAAGCAACCAGCTGATGGACAAGGTCTGTGACCAGACAATGTACCGAGATCTCCTTGAAATACTCTGGTGGACACACCCAAGCTCTGGAGGACGTGTTCCGACTGCGTGGGAGAGCGATCCTAAGGCCTGTGGCACCAAAAATTCCAGATGAGTGGCCTCTGTGGTCACTTTCAAGAAAGTCCCCGGCTCTCTACCCATTTGTCTGCTCCTTCAAATGTGGAATGTTGTAGCCATCCCTGAGCCCACAGCTTACCAGGATGCTGTCAGACTTGAAGATCCCAGGGACAAATTCCAGAGAGGGGCCTTCAGGCTTCAGCCAGGACAGGAGGAGAAGCCCAGGGTTTCTGCCAGAAAGGTGACTAGTCCCTACTGTGGGAGCTGAAGCCCCTCCTAAATGTGAAAGCACCCTGGCCACCCAGAAAAGGTATGAGTCCTCCAAGGAAAAGCTTGCCCCATATACAGAGTGACTGGCCCCAGAGCAGAAGACTGACGATACCCCTGCAACATCCAGAAAAGCCCTGGATTACTAATGTATGACTCAGTTTATGTTTCAAATACAGAGCAGGACTTGAAGATTAAAACCCCCAGCCAGAAATGGGACACTCTTTATGGCGCCTGGGGCACTGATCCAGAAACATGCGCCTATCTCTGCTCCATCCTAGGCAGTTTCCAGCTTTCCAGAAACAGCTGGATCAGGAGGGGTACAAATGTTACATCTGGACACAAGGAAGAAGGGAGGGAGACCTGAGTATGAGATTGGGATAAAAGGAGATCCAGCTGGGGCTCTAGCCAGAGGGTGGATGCAGACGGTACAGGGGCTGGAAATGGGTATTACTGAAATGGGGAGGGGCTTTGTCCAGTCCCACTGTGGAAGGAGGCTGGAATTTGGGTAGAACAAAAGAGACATAATTTATTCTCAAGTCTGATGTCTCTAACAGCCAGGGACTGAGTCTAGAAAGCCCAGGCTCCTGCTACAAACTTCCCTTCCTGGAACAGAGCTTGGCAAAATGAGATTTCTCGTGCCTTCCACCAAATCTGACATCAGCCATCTGGCACAAAGAGCTTTTACCTCCTTTCACACACCTCACCTTATCTTTCCCCACTTCACCGTCTCCAGGGGACCCACAAACTAACGCAGGCATCTTCCAGCTCCTCTGCATGTAGCTGGTCCAGGCCAAGACCTCTCCTCAGCCAGAAGAGCCTGTTGGGGACCCATCCCCAACACTCTCCCGATAAGACAAGCAGGCCGGGGCAGGAAGGCAGGTCAGTCCCGGCCTGTCCTCGGTCTCCACCCAAGCGCAACTCCTGTGTCAAGAGCGCGTGTGCTGACATGGCTCCGTGCTTGGATGGTTGTGGAAACACAACTCTGTGGGAGTGGGACTTTGAATATAATCAGAACTGTATGACTTCTGCCCATGATGGTCCAATCCTGGGTGTGACTGCTTGTTCATGTGACTGGATGTGTGGCTATGGGAATATGAATTGGAATGTCTACTATTAGATGTTACTGCGGCTCCTTAGCTGTTGTTAGTCACTGTACCATGTACTACCCTCTCCCCTGCTTCTCTGATGAGGGCTCAAGAGCCCATTAGCAATGATAGTCCTAGAAGAAAGGGTCCATGGCAACAGGCAAATCAAAGCTCAGGAATGTCACAAGATAAGCAGTACACCTCCACCTGTCTGTGACTCACCTGACGCCCCAGGTAAAATGCATGTAGATAAAAGGTATGGGAGAAGGAGCAGAGAGAACGAGCATCCCAGCTGAGAAGCATGAAGGGACTCTTCTCACCCCCCAGCATCCTCGCGCTGCTGCTGCTACTCCTGAGCCCAGACCCTGGAGCAGGTAAGCACCTGGGGGTCCAGGAGGCTCGGGGTCTTGCAGCTGTGGTGGCGCGTGCCTGTAATCCCTGCACTTGAGCGCCTCAGGCAGGATTGCTGTGAGTTTGAGGCCAGCCTGAACTGCATAGTAAGACACTGTCTCAAGAAACAAAACAAAAAAGGCTGGGGGTCCTTTGATGAAGAGAACAGGGCTCAGGAAATTCAAACTTTCAGCTGTCTGATGAAGCAGTTCTGGGCCTGGACCCTTCTGAACACATGACCCTGTTGTCCTGTAGCAATGCTACTGCCGCGCAGCACTACCTGCTGTACTCAGCTCTACAGACAGCCACTCCCCAACAAGATACTGAGGAAGGTCATCCGGATAGAACTGCAGGAGGCCGATGGGGACTGTCACCTCCAGGCTTTTGTGTGAGCTCTGACCCCTTCTCGATACCTAACTCAGACCTCAGCCCCAACCCCCGATGTTGATCCCAACCCCAGCCCCAACTTCGAATTGTGATGCTGGCTCCAAGTGTCACCTGGCCCTTCCCCTACCTGTGGACCTTAGCCTCTTCTCCAAGGTATGGGCACAGCTCTGGACCTTTCCCTTCCCAGGCTTCACCTGGCTCGACGCAGTGTCTGCATCCATCCCCAGAATCGCAGCCTGGCTCGGTGGTTTGAGCGCCAAGGGAAAAGGTTCCAGGGGACTCTGCCCAACCTGCATCTGGGGCTGTAAGGAGAAACAGTCTGCAGCTGCCAACGCCCAAAACAATAAAGCATCACTGGACGATCTCAGTACGATCTCCAAGAACTTCTCCATTCTCTTTATCCTGCACCTTCACAGCACTTGCAAGGGGCAAGGCCAAGAGCCAAGGACCCACATATTTTCCACGTACACACATATATGCAAAGAACACATGTCCCATACCTCACAAACACATGGCCACACATAGACACAGACATACACATTACAGACATCCTTCAGGTAGACTTCAGCTCTTGGATGAAGTCAGAGGTCCAGACACTTTCCAGCTGGCAAGTTTGGAATAGAGAGTCTCAAAGAAGTGAGCTCCAAACAGAACTTCCAGCTGAGACCCCATCCACAGGGATCTACTGCCCTGCCTGGTTCTATCTGTCCATCCATCCACACCAGCAGACAGTTACAGGTGGAATCATCTGAAGCTCTTGTGGGTCTTCTACAGGTCTGGAGTACCTAGGAGGGCAAGAGGCAAATGACAGAACTAGGTTTTGACTCACACATCCTGAGAATGAGTAGGGGGGACTTAGGTCTGAGCGCAACACCCTTGAGAAGGGATAAAGAGCCCAACTTTGAGGGAACCCCAGAATCTTAAAGATGAGGAAGCAGATACAACTCTTGGCCCAGGAGTATCAAGCATGAGGTTAGAGCCAGGCAAAGTGGTGGACATCATCTGTAATCCGAGCTACTCAGGAGGCTAAGATAGGAGGATCACAAGTTCAAGAGTAGCATGGGCAATTTAGCAAGACCCTGCTTCAAAAAGAGCTAGGTATATAGCTCAGTGGTAGAGCTCTTGCCTAGCAGCATACAAGTCCCTGGGTTCCATCCTTACTACTACAAAAAGAGGGATGGGGGAACAAGCACTGATCTAAGACATCCCAAGAAAAAGGATAGATACTTAGCTCTGAGTCTTTTTTTCTGCGGGGAGGAGGGGTGTTGGTCTTTTTGAGACAGGGTCTAGCTATGCAGTTCAGGCTGGCCTTGAGCTCACTTTGTAGCCCAGGCTGGTCTCGAACTCACAACGATCCTCCTGTCTCAGCTTCCCGAGTGCTGGGATTACAGGAGTGCACCACCACGCCCAGGCCTTTTTTTTTTAAACAGGGTCTCACTATATATTTCAGGCTGGCCTTGAACTTACTACGTAGCCCAACCTGGCTTCCAACTTGAAGAAATTCTCCTGCCTCAGTCTCCCAAGTACAGCCAGACATGGTGGCACATGCCTGTAATCCCAGCACTTGGGAGGCTGAGGAAGGAGAATCATCATGAGTAAGAGCCTGTCTCAAAAAACAAACAAAAAACAAGTGCTGAGCCTACAGGTGTGTGCCACCACACCTGAATCAGCTCTGAGTCTTAATGCCCTGAAAATGAGAAGGTGGCCTATCTAAAATCCCCAGTACCCTGAGAGAGCAAGAAGACCCGATTCTGAGCCTAGGGACTAAAGAGTGAAAAGTATCAGCCCGAGCTAGACAGGAGAATGAGGCAGTCCCACTCAGATTCCCAATATCCAGAAACCTTTGAGGGCACCTGGCTGTTAAGCCAGACAATCTCAAAATGATGGCGTACATCACCAAGTCTAAACACGGGCCTACTCACCGGGAAGCTTGTCGGCTGGAATCCTCAAGGCCAGGAATCCAGGCTTCTGGTGTGCATCCTTCCCGCCCCATCTCAGCCTCAGCCTAGGGCACAGAAAGGCAACTGTGCCCCAGCAGTGTAGGGCTCGAAGTGTCCTCCAAATATGTCTATTTCTTTCGGTTTATATGTATTTATTTGGTACTGGGGGTGGAATCCAGAACCTTCACACTGAGCTACATCCCCATCCCGCTTCTTTTAATGTTTAACTTTGAGGCAGAGTGTCAAAGTCTATGTCACTAAACTGCCCAAGCTGGGCTCAAACTTGTGACCCTCCTGTCTCAGCCTCTCAGAGTGCTGAGATCACAGGCGTCCATCACCACACCTGGCTCCAAGAGCATTTTTATTAGTAAAGGGTCAAGACAGGAATCAGGATCACGAAAGCAGGGTGTGGGGATTAGGATGGGGAGAGAGTTCAGATTCCGAGGTGACTGGCAAGTCAGTGGAAAATCATGAGGGATGGGATGGACGTGGTTTCTGTGGGGATCTGAGACTGAGGGGCAGTCACTTACCAGAACCCCAGTGCAAGGGCCCCCGCTGCCAGTCCCAGGAAAGAGAAGATTCCCAAAGACGCCAGCACAACCATCTGCTCCAGAGAGTCCCTGTGATCTGAGAGAGACACCCACACGCCACTGCGAGAGTGAGCCTGACCCACTCGGTGCCCCTTCTCTCAGAGACAGCCCATCCCCTGCAGCCTTTGCCCTCTGCCCAGTCTCACCCAGTGGCCGCGGGTCTGGCTGCGGAGAAGGCCTTGGAGGAGCGGTGCTGTCCACCAGCTGTGTGTGAATCTTGCCCGCATCAGGAATCTCATTTGTTAGGGGCCCTGAGGGAAGTGAGACCGAAGAAAGGTCCATTCACAGAGCAGGAGGGGCTGGGGCCTGACTGGATGCGGGGTCTCGGGGGTGGAGGCCGAAAGGCCGTGGGCCACCTCTGGGAATGTGGCTTATAGAAGCCAGGGCACAGGTACAGGCCCCCACGGTTGAGCCTGGCAGAGCAATGGTGGACATGTGCCACATGGCTGCCTTTGCAAACTGACCTCAGTATTCAATGCTTAAGGCAGGGCCTCTCCTCTTTTCTCTGGCTTCCTTACCAGTGCTTGGAGTCCCCCACACCTCCAGGCTCCAGGCGCTCCAGGTGCCTGCATCCAGAAAGTCCCTGGCACTGACCCGCACCGCATGAGGCAGCCCAGCCACGGCGTCTGTGATCACCTCCTCCAAGCCAACGGGCTCCACCTAGGAGGGCGCAGATGGCTCCTTGGTGCCTTATCAGGGTGTAAGCACAGAGCCTACCCACACCATCTGCAGAGTTCCCTTCTCCCAGTGCCACCTCCCCAGCACGCGGAGGATCTAAGCCTCACGCCTGGGTGGCTGGTGTGGTAGGATCTATACCCGGCCTTCAGAAGATAGTGGTGTGTTTGTCTGTTTGTTTTTAGACAGGTCTCACTGTGGAGTTCAGGCTGGCCTCAAACTCACTCAGATCCTCCTGCCTCAGTCTGAGTGCTAGAATTACAGGTGTGCGCCACCACACCCAGCTGGAAGATGGCGGTGCAGCTGCTGTAGTTTAGATCCGGGGTGCTCTCCAGGACCTGCTGTGTGTGAAAGGGGGCTGAACCGTAGGGCACTGCGGCTAACCTGTCATGAGGTGAGGCCAGGTCAGAAGAGGTGGGCCACCAGAAGACTGGCCTGGAAGGCGCCTCTCCCCCTCCAGCTCCTCCCTTCCCTCTGCTTCCTGACTGTCATGCCACGGGCAGCTCCTCTGCTGTGCCCCTCTGCCACGCCATTTCTGCCTTGGAGCCAGTCAACCGTGGACTGGAACTTCTGAACCTCTCCTCCTTTAAGCCGGGTACTGCATCTCACCAACAACGTGACTGAGAGAGTAGTGGGATTCCTTGGGGGAGCTGTGGCATCTGTCTATCTGGGTTCAAATCTTTGCTAAAGCACTTACTGAAAAGACGAAAAAAAGGAAAAAGAAGCCAGGTGCGGTGGCACACACCTGTAATGCCAGCACTCTGGAGGCTGAAGCAGGAGGATTACTGTGAGTTCAAGGCCAGCATGAATTACATAGCCAAACCCTGTCTCAGAACGACAAAAACCAAAACCAAACCACTTACTGGGTGAACTTTGGGCCTTTGTGCCTGTTTCTTCATTTGTGAAATAGTGGTGACTACCCCTGGACAAAGTAACGCAGGCAAAACACGTGGCACGGTGCGTGGGGGACAGCGCTAAGCGTGGGTAATGATCTGCTGCTGCTGCGCTCCAAACCAAGGCCCGCCAACCGCTGACATCTCTGAGGTGGGAACTCAGTACTGTCCCCGGCTGCGTATGACTGTGTACGAGGGTGTGTCTGTGTGTGACAAGCACTCCTTTTCCTAGAAAACTTATCTTTTCAGAGACACTGTCTTTCGGCGGATGGGTTTACATCATACCACAGTTGTAGCCCCAGGGAACAGCACTGCAACACAAAGCACCCAACACAAAGCTCGGCCCACAGGAAGCACTCCGTGCCTGGACACTGCACAGGACACCCAGGCTCACAAAACCAGAAACAGCTCAAGGGTGCAGTACACTCCAGACCCTACCATGGACCAGGCCGGATGCTGTGCCGGACGGTACTGCAGTCGGAACTTGAGCAGGAAGTGTGGCTGCCGGGGCCAGGAGGAGGGGTAGGTCCAGCTGGCATGCAGGCGTCTCGGGTAACCAGGAACCGACTCCACCCGCAGCCCCTCGGGGGGGTCCGGGCGCACTGAGGGCAGCCAGATGCAAAGTCAGGGCAGGCAACTGTTCCCACCCCTTCCCAGCCACTTCCCAAGGCATGTGCTTGAAGGCCCCCTAGCCAGGTGCTTCCATATAGGGTGGGAAATCTTAAACTTGATCCTCTATTAGGCTCTGTCATCCTTATAAAATAAGCTGAGATCTGGTCGTAGTGTTTGAAATGCTGCATGAATAAAAGACTTTTTTTTTTTTTTTTGGAAGATAAATTGGCCCAAATTCCAGCTGAGATGTTTTGTTTGGTTTTGTTTTCTTGTTTTGTTCTGTACTAGGCCTGAACTCAGGGCTGCCTCACACATGCTATGCAAGTGTTCTACCACAAACCTCCATCCAGAGGCCCAGTTTTTGTTTTTTTTAAAGACAAGGTATCACTAGAGTTCAGACTGGCCTTGAACTCGTTATGTAGCCCAGGTTGGCCTCAAACTGATAGGGATCCTCCTGACTCAGCCTCCCGAGTGCTAGGATTATAGGTCTGCACATCACATCCAGCTCCCAGCCTTTTATTTTATTCTGAGACAGGGTTCTGCTAAATTTTCCAAACTTAAACTTTTGATCCTCCTGCCTTAGCCTCCCAAGTAGCTCAGATTAAAGGCAGAGGCCACCGCACCCCACTCCACCCAAGTTCAGTTCCTCCTTCCCACACACTAGTCAAGAGGATGGAGTGTCTAGCAGACTGGGGACATAGCTCAGTGGCACAAGCGCCTGCCTGGCAGGTGCAAGGTCCTGAGTTCAATTCCAGATACAAAAAAAAAAAAAGTGTCCAGCAGGAGATTCAGCTGCCTAGACAGAGCACAGACTCTAAAAGCAGTGACTCGACCTCAGTAGCCGGGAAGGACCTGAGCGCAGTGACAGCAGCCTCTCGTTTCCCGTCCCTCTGACTGCCTGTGTGTGGAGGCCCCCCTTGGGGGAGCTGCTTGGGAGTTGAGTTGGGGCAGTGCTAAGTCCACCTGGGATCCAGAAGGTGGGGCTGTGGGAGCAGCTACTCACAGATGCTCTGCAAGCTCACATCCAGCAGGCGCGTGCTGGCACCCAGGGGGTTCACCTCGGTCACATTCATCCGGTACTGGCTCCAGAACTCCGCCCAGTAGATGGCACAGCGTGCAGCCCCCGGGGGGTCCTGTGGGCACGGCTGCCCTGTGGACAGACTCACCCTAGGAGGAAGGGTTAGTCCTGGGATTGGGAGATACCTACCGTGGGACACAAGATGGAGCCCCTACCCTCTCCCTCACGTCCTACCTTTGGTGACCAGTTCCTGGCAACATCTTCTTCCTGTGGGGGAGGGACCATTTGAGGTCAGGAAAGGAAAGAGGACCCTCCGCCCTCCCCGCGGCAGGACCTCCCCTCCTGCCTCCCACACCCCCCTCGTGCTGGCACACCCAAATGCAAAGGCACACACGCCCAGTCGAGCACACACCTGTAGGAGGTGAGGTAGCGGGTGGGCAAGCCACTGACTTGGCTGGGACTCCAAGTGCAGGAGATGTTCTCATAATCAGACGCTTGGCAGGAGACCACAGGACGGGCTGGGGGATCTAGTGGCAGAGAATGCGGCTGGAGACCGAGCAGTCCCCAGCTCCTCCCATCCCAGAGGGCCTGCTCAGGTCCTGGATTCACTCAAGAGCCCCATATGGCATCAGTGCCACCATCCTGAACTCACAGCCCAGCTTGAGGGTCACTGTGCCTCCAAGTTCACCATCCAGGGTCTGGCAGATGTAGGTGCCCTCATCAGTAAAGGCTGCCCGGGCCAAGACCAGTTCATGCCCCAGCCCGGAGTCAGGTCCCTGGAGCAGCCTTGGCTCCTTGTCGCGAAACCAGTACACAGGGGTCCTGCAGGGGAGATAAGGTAATGACTCACAGAGGGAAGGTTTAAAGTATAAGTCAGACATGCCACTGCTCCCTAGCCTTCTAACTGCACTTGAAATAAAATCTAAATGCTCTTCACTGGCTTACAAAGATCCTTCCATCCAGCCCTTCTTGTCCCCATCAGCTCCTACCTCCCCGGCCCCCAGTGACTCTGTCCACACTGCTCTAGTTTCTGTTTCCCAGGAGTACTTGATTCACACCTGTAATCTCAGTACGCAGGAGGCTGAGGCAGGAGGATTGTGACTTTTAAGGCCACCCTGGGTTCAGCCTGGACTATATAGCAAAACCCTATCAAAGAAAGAGAAAGAGGAAGGGGGAGGGGATGAGGAAGATGGGGAAAAGGAGGCACAGGGAGAAGTATCCAGTCCATTCCCACCTCAGGGCATTTACACTGCTACAAAATCTGTGCGTGCCTGCATCTTTGCTGACCTTCAGACATCAGCTTCAATGCCACCTCCTCAGGGAGACCTTCTCCGATTGTGAATAAAAAGTAACTGTCCTCTTCAACATGAGGACCTTAGGGTTTTCTGTCCTCCAAGCATTACTACCTGGTGGATTCTTGTTTGTTTACTACCTGTCTTCCCTGTGGGATGTAAACACCGAGCCAAGGGGCACAAGTTGCCTGGCTTGCGCCGTATTTCAGAGCCTACAATAGGCCAAGCACTTACAGGCTTCTCTGTTGAGCAGGGATCATTTGTGGTTTAGGGTACAGAGGCGAGGATCACAGTCACAAGGGGGAGGGCAGGGGGCAGATGAGGATGAGCAGTGTCAAAAGGTAGGTGAGGCACTTACCCCGCACTCACTCCTGGGCAACACAGCGTCACCGGCCGGCCGGGCTGCCCATACTGGACCCCTGTGGAGGGCACTTCTGAGGTAAGGCTCTTTCTCTACACCCCCTCTGCTTTGTAACAGTGACAGGGTAAGGAGCAGGCTATTAAGCCCCGGGTAGGGTTATGGTAAAGCACCAGATTATAATCTGGAGGCGGGTCAGAGGACAGGTTACAGGAAGACCAGACCGTCAGGGGTTAAGGGGAAAGGCTGGCTGCACTTAGGCATGAGAAGGGGCCACAGTGTTTGTTCTTCTCACCTGGGGGGCCCCAGGCCTGGGGGCAGGGGGAGGAGGCAGAAACCAGGGCTACAGCTACGGCCACCAAGACCCTGCTCAGTCCTGAACAGCTGCAGCTCATCTGTGGGGAGAGAAGCAGGGTCAGGGGTCCCCTGTGGGAAGAGAGGCAGGGTCAGGGGTCCCCTTCGGGAGAGGGGCTGGGTCAGGGGTCCCCCATCCCTGAGACAGAAGGCTGACGCCCGGCTCCCCCTCTCCAAAACTGGAGCTTCCTGGGAAGAACAAGGAGGCACTGAGCGGAGTAACACTCAGAAATCATTAGGGGATCGACCCGAGGCCCCTTTTCCTACCATGCATTCAGCGTTGTGCATATGTTTACGCGCAAGCGTGCACACGCACGTGCACGCGCACACACACACACACACACCCTCCATCTCAGTCCTGGGCTTAGGGCCCAGAACAAAAGCCGGAGGCAACAAACAGTGCCAGCAACCACCCCCCTCTACTGCCCTTGGCGCCCACCCCGGCACCAAGGGCTGGCACAGGCTCAGCCGCTCCCATTAACCCCTCCAATCTGGCTGCTGGGAATTCCGGCATTCACCCCCACCTGCCCACAGCCAAGCACCGCCTCTGACGAACCTAGGGCAAACCTTCTCACCGTGGAGTGGGAATCACCACGGAGGGTCCGAACCCACCCGGTAAGCCCACCGCGAGGCCTAGGCCTGCTCTGGCTGCCAAGGCTCTGGCCTGGGCCTGGCTTATTGCACGGGCTCCTTGGGCCACTCAGCTGGGCCTGGCTTAGCATCTTTGTTGGTATCGCGCCTGCAGAGCTGGATGGGGCTAGGGTGCAGACTAGGGCTACAGAGTTAAGCAGATCCAGATGCCCTGGCTGCTGCTAGAGGCTGGGGGCGGGCAAGGGGCCAGCAGATGGAGATGGAGACAGAGTGGCGGAGAGGGGAAGAGGGCCAGGAGCCTGCAGGAACGCAGGCTGACGTGGGGGCCACAGCACCAAGAGGAGAGGGCACTCAGTGGTCAGGACCCGCGGTGACAGGGGCTCAGGGAGGAGGAGGCTGGGCGGGAGCAGTGGGAACTCGATGTCTGAGAAGGAGGTAAGGGGCGGGGAAGGAGCCAGACTCCGGCCTGGGTGTGCAGGAGGAAGGCGGTGGAGAAGGAGGACACAGAGCGCCTGGGTGAGGGAGCCTGCAGAGGGTCGGTGTGGACCCCTCCATGGTGGACGCACACCAGAGCAGGGGCCTCCACACGTCCATAGGTCTGCCTGGGTCTCTCGGGCTCACCGGGCTCCACAGCCACACTGCCCTGTCCGGCCCCACCCTACCTTGTTGATCCTAGTGGCCGAGTGTCCATGGTCTCCAAGACGTCCTCCCACGTCCTCCCACCAGCCACCGCACCAGCTCCTGCTGCACTCAGCTCTGGGACCCCAGAACCATCCTCTTCTTTTCTTCTCAGCCCCACCCCCTTCGGGTCCTGGAGCGCAGCCACCCTTAACCAGGCCCCCTCGGCCTTGCTTCTCCTTCCCCCTTCCCCTCCTTCTTTCTCTCTCCTCCCTTCCCACCCGAGGCCCTGGGAAGGGAAGAGGCTCCCCCCAGGACAGAAAGGAAGCTACAGATACCGCCAGGGCTGGCCAGAGGGAGAAAGGGGTTGCTCATGCTTATGTGCCCGTTGGGGATTCCCTGGGTTTCCACAGAGCCACACACAGCCACATTCACGCGTGGACTCACTAGGTACAGTTAACAGAAGAACACTCCACGGACCACACGGAAGCAAGCAAACGAAAAAACAGATACAGACTGGTGTGCCTACTTTTTCACTTCCCAGCAAATGCCTCTGGGCCCAGCTGCCTGTTTCCAGGGTTAAGAGAAGCCCCAGGCTGGGGAATACAGGGAAAAGCCAGAGTCCAGCTGCCCCTCCCCTGGAAGTTCCAGCCATTTCTTCCCTCCCCTTCCACCCTTTGGGCCCCAAACACCAGGAAATGCCTTTGGTCCCTTGGTGCCAGGTACACAAAACCCACACTTACCCTCAGACTAACACTCTCAGATACAGTTACACCGAAACACTCAGACACCCTCACCTTGATTCAGATATATTTGTACTAACTGTACACTCAGTCACACATGCACGCACACAGGGAGTCTGATCCCTGCGGGTGGGGGTGAGGGGTCACGCCACGCCCTAAAGGCGAATGCTCGGCTCTCTGGTTTACGGCTGTGCATCTGCCACGGCAGATCAGCATCTTATCACTGTTACAGGAGCCCCGGTGGCCAAACAGGGTAAACGGGGTGTCAGGGAGGGCCACAGAGACAGCATCACAACACTAGAAAGCAGACACAACTGCATCTGCTGGCGCACACCTGTAATCCTAGCACCCAGGAGCTTGAGGCAGGAGGACTGCAGCGCGTTCAAGGCCAGCCTGGGCTACATAGCAAAACCCTGTGTCAAAAAAGAAAGACAAGGGAAGAAAAGAGAAGACAGACACAGACATACTTGGGAGCTAACACTGTGAGGAGACACGGAGAAATACTCCAGGAAGACAGCCAGCGGGCAAGAAAGAGAAATACAAGGGAACCGAGTCAGAGCAGGAAACAGCAAATAAGGAGCCCTAGACCTTCCCTCTTCTGAGGTCTCCCACACACACTGAGCTACACCTCCAGCCCTCAAGGACTCTTGGGCAAAAGGAGAAGGAGAAGCCGTGGGTGTGGGGACAGGCCCGCCCACGGCGCCGCTGGCTATCAGTATGCACACAGCTAGGCTCCCACAGTCCACAGCAGGGCACAGGACGCACACCGTCGCCAGTCTCACCCCTGCTCTGCTACTGCCGGAGGCGCCTTGGCAGAACCCCCAGTCCCACAGCGCGGCGGGGCACAGCGGGGCACCTCACAGGGGCCCTCCCAAGCACCCTGTCCAGGTGCGCAAGCCCCCTCACACACACACACACACGCCCCACTGGGAACAGGACATCCAGACGCACACGGTCCCTTCCCTGCGCGTCCACATGCACACTCGGACGGGCGTCGTCACATGCAGTCGCGTTAGCTGACAGCTGCACCAAGTGACACCCGCCCCAGAGCCGCACGCGCGGCGCGTCACACGCGGACACGAACACTCCGGCGGGCCCGCGCCGCGATCCCGCACCGCCCCGCCCCGCCCCGCCCGGAGACCGGCCGTCCACGCCGCCCCCGCCTCACCTTCCGCGGCGCAGCCAGCGCCCTCCGCCCTCGCCCCGCCGGCCTCCCTCCCGCCCGGCCCGCCGAGGGGTGGCTCCTCCCGGGCGCCAATGGAAGGAGCGAGGTGAAACAGGGGGGCCTCCCGGCCCATTGGAGCCTCCGACTGCCAATCACTCCCACCCCACCTCCGCCGGACACTTCCTGTCCCGTCGGGACTGGAGAGGACCCCGGGGGCCGTCTTAACAAGCTGCCCTGCGGGCCGGCCCGAAGGCCTGTCGTCCCGCGACAGCGGGACCGCAAGCGCCCAGGCCCTTTCCCCTCCCATCTGTCCACAAACAAAGACTCAAGTCGGGGTTCCGGAGCCAGCGGGCAGGTGACTGGAGAAGTTGAGGTGCCCCTGACCCAGGAAAGAGGAGGGCTGGTTTAGAACAATGGTTCTTAAACTTTGCACAGCGCTGTGGTTGCAGAACTGCCGAGCCCCGCCTCGCACCAGTTAAATCAGAACCTCTGGAGGTTGGACCTAGACTCCAGTATTGTTGAAAACTATCCAGATGGTTCCAAAATGCAGCCAAAGCAGAGGTGTAAGGTCGGGGCGTGTGTGCTTGGGTATGCCTGAAGAACCAGCCTCCCACCAAGTCCTCCACCCACGCCCAGCCCCTGGGAGGCTCAGAACACATGCATACTGCATTTGATCTCCTCTCATAGCAGGGCAACGCTCCCAAGCCCCAGAAGCTTTAACTCTGGAAGATAGAGACCTGGACCGGAAGGTAGGCAGTCAAGGCTCTTCAGCCAGGTCCTTACTGTCCAACCTTGGTACGAATTTCCCAGCGAGACTCAGTTCCCCTGGGAAAAGAACTGTGACCAGGCTGATAACCTTTTGTTTCCCAAATGTTCCAGAAGGGGAGGGAGGAAACCCAGGGTCATGCTGAAAACCACATTTTCTAGGCCGTGGCACTCCTACGCCTTGCAGCTCCTTTCCTGCCCTGCACAATGACTGCGGTAGAGGGGCACCAGAGGTATGCTGAGGCTGCACATACACGTGTGGGAGTGTGCAGAAGCCAAGGACACAAAGCCACCTGCACGCGCCCTACTCACCCCTTCCGCCCTTGTGGGTTGAAGCAGAGCCAGGCTGCAGCCACTCACAAAGCCAGGGTCTGGCCAGCGGCCCAGGGTCTAGCCACTGACCACCGCGACCAGCATCCTCAGGCCTGGGCTTGGTAAGCTGAGACTGGGCTTGGTGGTGAAGGGGACTTTGGCCTTCCTAAAACCTCAGCCACAGCTAAGAACACAAACATTTTAAAGTCTGCTAAACTAGAAAGTCGTGTGTCATGGGTAAGAGAATCGATAGGCCAGATGCAAGCTGAATATTAGTTTTGTGCAGAGATATGGGGTGGAACGTTTGCATCAAGTTTTTGCACATCTGTAGGTAAATTGTGGCTACAGCTGTGCTTGTGTGTGTGTGTGTGTGTGTGTGTGTGCAGTGTTAGGGACTGAACTCAGGGCCTTGCACAGAGCCACATCCCCAGCCATTTTTACTTTTTATTTTGAGACAGCGTCTTACTAAGTCCCTCCATTTCCCAGGCTGGACTCAAACTTGCAACCTGCTTCAGCCTCTCAGAGTGCTGAAATTTCAGGCATTCACCACTATACCCAGCTGCCCTTAGTCTCCAACCCTAGATCCCTGAAGGTTTGGGGGAGGGGGTGTTGGTGGTGGTGTTTTGTTTGTTTTGTTTTTTTAAAGACAAGTCTATGTAGTTCAGGCTGGTCTTGAACTCACTATGTAGCCCAGACCGGCCTCAAACCTCACCCTGGTGCTTCTGCCCCAGTCTCCCAAGTGCTGGGATTATAGGCATGTGCCAGTGTGCCCAGCCCCTGGTTTTTGAGTTCATACTCCTCTAGCGTCAGAAATATGTAATTAAAGTTTTAATTTAATTTTATCGATGCTACATTTGCCCATGCTCCAGGCCTCAGTCTCCTCTGGCAGAAGGACTCCAGCCCTGTGGTCAGGCAATGGCTGTTGTCTCCCTGTCCTTCTGCCCCAGGCAGTAGTGTACCTCTGGAAGTACCCTTAGCCTCTCTGCGGCCTGGAGAGGAGACAAAGGGCAAGTAAAGAGGTAAGGGTCACAGAGAATGGTGGTACGAAGTTCTGAGCACCAGGAGACGCTGGGGGTGGGCTTGAGGGAGGGGGAGACCGGGACTGCTGGAGCCACCAGAGCATGCAGTGTAGCAGATCCTGGTTTCTAAAAACGCCCAGGTTTTTATGTGGATTCTTGGGGTCATAACTGCTGGGATCCTTTGAGGAAGTGGGAAGGAAAATGGGACCTGGGAGCCCAGGATACTGAGCCTGACCTGCTCAGGGGTGAGGTCCCTCTGGGCCTGGGCCAGCATTTCATAGCCAACCATGAATTTCCGGACAGTAGCAGAGCGCAGAAGTGGAGGGTAGTAATGAGCATGCAGCTGCCAGTGGTCCCAGTTGGCCCCAGCTGCTGATCCTGTGGGGGCACCTGACAGGAAGAAGAAGCCAGAGAAGGTGCGGAGGCCCTTTCTTAGTTCCTCTGTCCACCCCCTGCCCCCAAACCAGGAGGCATTCACACACCTGAAAACTACACCTCCTAGCATTCTCCACCAGAAAGCCCAGGCATCGGAGAGCACCCTGGTGAGTGTCACCAAGCTTGCTGCACCCCACCCCACCCCATTTCCAGCATCCCTGCTCTAGACACTTCCCCAGCAAGGCCTGCTAGGAGTCGTGGTCCCCTGAGCTGGGACCTGGGAGCCCAGAAATGCTCCTGGGGCTAAATATAGATACACAAACGCCTCACCATGCCAGCCCATAGAGTAGGGAAAAGATGTCTCGAATAGGTTGTCGTACTTGGTCAGGAGCTTCTTCATGATGGAGGCTAGATCTGGAACCAGAGCCTGACTCAGCCTGGGAACCAGACGCTGGGCCTGGCAGAGCCATCTCATCAGTGCACACGCCCTAGGCCCCAGCTGGGAGACTCACCATCACGCTCAGCCGGGGTCAGCTCGGGCAGCCGCCGCACATGTCGACGGGGCAGCAGCAGTGTTTGGAAGGGCCACACTGCCCAGAAGGGCACCAGCACTAGCCAGTGCTCACTGGTTAGGACCAGACGTTCCTGGGCACATAGAATGGAGATGAAGCCATCAAAGGTATAGGAGGTCAGCAAATAGGCAGGGGGAGCAAAAGAAAAGAATCTGAAGGACTCCCACCACTTTGCCCGATTTTAAACTACCAGTCATTCCTTTACTGTTAGTGTAGTGTCGTCCAGTGAGTCTCCATGCTACCTCCCTCTTCCTCTTCTCTTTCACACACCTCTCTTTTGGGATAAGAAGGCTAAGAACTCCTTGGGCCCAGGACCTTGTTCTCTCCCACCTTCCTGAGTAGTTCCTGGCGGCTGTACTCTATCAGCAGGGGCTCTCCATGCTGACTGTGATAGGACTGCTGAGACCGCTCCTCCCGCTGAGCAACATCTGGCAGGAAACTGCTGGCCCACACCTGTCAGAAGATAAGAGCAGACCAGAGCAGGTAGGGCCTTTAACTCCAAGCTGCCCACCACTGGCAGGGCCTCTACCTCAGCCCTCAGTTCAGATCCCCTGTCCACAGTGCAGACTGGTCCCAGGCGAGAAAGCCACTGCACCTGCGGCACACTCACCTGGCAGTGGGGGTGGGGGTTAGAACAGCCCATCATGGCTCCTTTATTTTCAAAGATCTACTGGGTAGAGATAAGGAGCTTTACTTTTTCTTTTTGAGACACGGTCTCACCATGTAGCTCAGACTAGCCTTGAATCATTATGTGGCCCAGGCTGGCCCGCGCACACCACACCCAGCTATAGGGACCTTTAATAGCTGGAAAGACACAAGTCAGCACCCTTCTAGCCACACCCAGTGGACACAGGTATGCTACTCCCCTAAATCAAAGCTGTACCTCTCCCCCCGTGCCCTTCCAGGGACAGGGACCACCTCACAGACCTGTACCCAAGGGTACTGGGCACCCAACTCCTCTGTGACTGAGGCCCATGAATCCACGACAGCCCGGATCTCAGGGACCGACATGAGAGGCAGCGTCACATCCGACCAGGGGTGGAAGCACATGACTTTACTAAGTGGGAGGGGAAGTGGTGACAGAATAGGGGTTGGGTACGAGGGGCAGAACCCAACCCCAGGGTTTAGCTTTCAACCTTGGCTGAAGAGGGAACACCCATAGTTACCAAACTCCTCGAGCGGCCTCTGCTCGGAAGAGGGGGTGATCACTGGGTCCTGAGATAAAGAACGTTGCTCTGTGCAGAAGCTGGGCCCCAGAGGTCAAGCCTCCCTCCTCCCCAGCAGCGGTTCGAGGCAGGGTACCTGGGTCCGGAGCATCAGGCTGCAGAGCTGGGAAGTCATTGTCAAACAGAAAGGTGCCATCATAGTGGGGATTCACCTACAGACAAGGATGGGCCAGAAGCGTGCACTGCCCCGTACCACCCTCTGGCGGGCTTCAGGGGCTGCACAGGCTGCAGCAGAGCGGGGAAGGCACACCAGGGAGCAAATGGGCTTGGTAGGATCTGACCCAGGAGGTTCGTGCACGGCCGCTACCAGTGAGAGGGAGCTCAGAGGAGGAGCTACCCCCTACACACCCACTCTAGAGGTGGGCTCCAGAGGCTCACCTCGCCGTTGGCCCGTGTGGCCCCGGGACACAGAGGGTTGAGGGGATCGTGGCGGGGCACCGTCTTCAGGAGCGGGGGCTCCACTTGCCCTTGCCACGGCCGCTTCATGCGGTGAGCTGACACCAGCACCCACTCATCCTGCAGCGGGTTGTAGCGGATATGTTGATGCTCTGGCGACAGAGAGTAAAGATCAGTCCGCGAAGCTCTGTCTGGCTGTCCCCTGGCTCTCCCCGCAAGAGGCCTGCGCTCAGCGGCGCCCAAACCGGCCGGTCCTGCTCAGGCGCTGGGGCCCGGGGCCGGCCCTGCCCTGGCCAGCGGGCGCGCAGCCGCTCCCCAGCCCCGTGGTCCGCCCGGGGTGCAGGGAGGAAGGCGCCGACCTTCAAGTTGGGGCGGGAACGTTCTAAGGAAGAGGGGGGGTAGGCGCTGCGGTCCAGCGAGTCCCCGGCCGCCCAGCAATTACCGCTAGACCGGAAGGCTGCTGAGGCGGCGTCCACCGCCGCCGTCCGCTGGCGCGGCTCAGGGTCTGCACTGCGCGACATGAGGACTCCCGGGGCAGCGGGGAACGTCTGCCGGGCAGACGCTAGCTTTCATTTCGCCCCGCCCCGGGCCGCCCCGCGCCGTGATTGGCCCGCCTCCAGCACGTGACCGTAGAGGGGGTGGGAGCGGGCGGGAGCGGAGGGCTGTCCGGACGATTTTGGTGCTGCCCCTCCACCCAGGCTGCAGCCACTGCCCCGGAAGAACCTCTGCGAGAGCTCCCTGCCGCAGAGTCCTGCTTCGGGACACTTTCGGTGCACAGTCATTCATGTGGCTGTTCATTCAGCACATACTCACAAAGCCTCTACCGTGTGCCGGGCACCCCCTCCGCGCAGGAGCCTGGCCTGCCCTCGCCTCTCCGCGCTTACACTGTAGGACCCAGAACCGCCTGGGTCATCCGCTCAACGGCTGTGGTGGAGGAGAAGCAGCCTTGGGGTACAGGTGGCCCTTGATCTGCTATAGCTGAACACCGACCCCTCTAGTTTTCTTGAGGAGTGGGAACTTCACCACACGCCATCCCTACCTGCAGAAACAGGTTTGGAAAAAAGACCTAAGAAACCATGGACGCATACTGTACTCCTATTGATTTATTCCCTCCCTCTTCCTCTCTGTCTGTCTGTCTGTCTGTCTCTCTCTCTCTCACACACACACACACACACACGTGCACACATAAAACACACATGCACAGGCCAAAAACACAAGAAGTGTGAAAAATAAGAGGCCATAAGAAATATCAAAATTGCTAGGTATGGTGGCACACACTTGTGATCCTAGCACTCAGGAGGCTGAGACAGGAGAATCACAGCGAGTTCGAGGCCAGCCTGAACTACATAGCAAGACCCTGTCTCAAAACTAAACAAAATAAAACATGACCTGAGCACAGTGATGTGCGTGCCTGTAGTCTCAGCTACTAGGGAAATAGACGCAGGAGGATCACATGAGCCCAAAGAGTTCGAGACCAGCCTAGGCAACACAGTGAAACCAGTCTCAAAAATAAACTGAAGCTGAATGTAGTGGTGCATGCCTGTAATCCTAGCATTCTGGAGGCTGAGGAGGGATTTGTGAGTTCAAGGCCAGACTGGACTATATAGGGAGACCTTGTCTAAAAAAAGAACGAAACCAAACAAACAAAATGAGGAAAGGGGAGGAAAGAAGAGGTACAGAAAAGATGTGAGAACAGGACTGTTAGTATCTGCAGCCACCGTCTGGGAGGTGTCAGAGGTGTTTCCTTTACATGTTCCTTTTTCTCCCCCAGGTTTTTGTTTCTTTTGAAGAGACCAATTAGCTGATACTAGAATTCAAATTAATTCTAAAGAGCCGTCCAAACATGGCCTACACCTCTTTCGTACTTCATAGTGGGAACAGAGTCCTCGGGGTTACCCAGACAGTGAATGGAAGCTGAGATTTGAATGGAGATTTCCAGGAAGATTCCCAGCACTGTGACAGTCCCAGTGCTGTGTCTGAGACTTGAGTGGGATTCAGGACAGAAAACCTAGCGAGCTACAGCAGGGAGGCCCCTTCGCCAAAGCCACACCAGGCCAAGCCGGGTATTCTGCAACCAGGCTGAAAAAAAAATTATTGGTCATCCACCTGATCTTTGCCCTAGAGTCCTCAGCCTGGACTCCAAAGGGGCCTCTAGCTAGGGAACAGGAAGCAGGGACTAAGAAATGAGCTTTATCTGTCGCACTGGCTGTTCATAGTACAAGAGCGGGTGAGGGCAGGGATAGGAGACCTGCTTTTCTTTTTTTTTTTTGGTTTTTCTCCGGTACTGGGAACCGAACTCACGACCTTGTGCTTGCCAGGCAGGAACTTTTTGCCGCTGAGCTAAATCCCCAGCCCCGGAGACCTGATTTTCTACTCTGTCAAGTTCTTTATTTGAGTGTCTGGATTTCGGAGTCTGCTTCATTTTCTCAGGAACAGTGTTTCAGTTCTATAGTCTAGATCATGCCTAGTTACACCCAACCCCCTCCAGGAACAGTTCCATAACTGTCTCTCAGATCACTTTTTGGGGAGGAAAAAGGAGAATGTTCTAAATCTAGTGGCTCTATCACTCTATTCACTCTAGTAGAATTCTCTACTAGATCCTCTGTAACCAAAGCAATAGATGAAGAGAGAATATAAAGAATTTCACAGATTTTAGGAGCCTGACCTGGAAATGGTGCACATAATTTCTGCCTATCTTTCACTGCCCAGAATATAGTTACATGGTCTCACCTACATAATAGTCTGTGGACTATAATCTGGCTAAGAGCACAATGAAATAGATTAGTGGATTTTGCATTGTCACAGCCACATGCTCCCACTGAAAACCCCAAGGCCTTCCCTATGAGACTTTATCCACTTTTATGTGTGTGGTGCTGGGGATCGAACCCAGGGCTTTCTGCGTGCAATGTAAGAGCTCTACCATTGAGCTACATCCCCAGCCCATGAGATTTTACCCACTGTTAAGGTTTCAATTGCTGTCTTTTCTGTAGGATCCCTAGAGATCGCTAAGCTGAGATGAGACAACACCATCTCCACGGACGCAGATCTTTCCTCTTGCCTGTACCATAGTCACGGTCTCCCGAAGTCTCATCTTGCGCCCGCCTCTACTCTCCACTCTGAGGCAAAATCCCATCCCATTGCCCTCCTGCAGATAACCCTCCATTGGTCTAGGAAGCACTCCTCTTAAACTTCATGCTTCGGAACAAAGACGAATTGTAGGCCCCCAGAGAACCCGTGCTAACCTAGCATGGTGGCACGTGCCTGCAATTCCAGGACTCTAGGAGGCTAAGGAGGAGGATCACAAGTTGAGCCCAACCTGGGCAATTTAGCGACTCATCAAGACCCTGTACCAAGTGGGGAGGGTGGGCTGGGTGCAGCTCAGTGGGAGGGCCCTGGGTTCAGTCTCCGGTGTGTGTGGGAGTGGGTGCGGCCTCTCTCTGCACCTCTGCTCTTGCAGTGGGCCCAGTCTGCTGGAAAACCCTTCTCTCTCAAGACTCTGCTCAAGGGCCAGGCCTCCGAAAAGCCTGCCCTCGAGTCCCACGCATCGTCTCGGCACCTGTGCTGGTAAAGCTAGGGTCCCGGAGGGCTCTACTGTCTGGGCTCGCCTGCTTTACACTGAGCCCAAGCGGGGCAGTCAGTTCTGGGTTTCCCCTTCGCGCGGCAGCCTGGGAGAGACCCAGCCAGCAGCCCCCACCGCGGCGGCTGAGCGGACGCCCCGCCCCTCCCTCGCCCCGCCCCCCGCGCGCGGCCCCGCCCCGCCCCTCTGCGCTCGCCGCTAGGAAATGATTCAACCGGCCGGGCGGTGCTAGAGGCTCGGGCCGGTCCGATTGGTCAGCGCGAAACAGCGCGGGGGCGGGGCCCGGGGCGCCGGCGGCGGGCTGGACGGGGAGCGCCCCAGCTTCTGGCCGGGCTCGCTGCTGCGTTCCCGTGCGCCACCCGCCCGGAGGGATGCAGTGGGCCGTGGGCCGGCGCTGGGCGTGGGTCGCGCTGCTTCTGGCGGCCGTGGCGGCGCTCACCCAGATCGGGTGGCTCTGGCTGGGCGCGCAGAGCTTCGTCTTCCAGCGCGAGGAGATCGCGCAGCTGGCGCGGCAGTACGCGGGTGAGCGCGCGGGGCGGGGCGGCCGGGCGGCCGGGCCGGGGCTGCCGCTGACCGCGCGCCTGTTTCCGCCAGGGCTGGACCACGAGCTGGCCTTCTCTAAGCTGATCGTGGAGCTGCGGCGGCTGCACCCGGGCCACGTGCTGCCCGACGAGGAGCTGCAGTGGGTGTTCGTGAACGCGGGCGGCTGGATGGGCGCCATGTGCCTCCTGCACGCCTCGCTGTCCGAGTACGTGCTGCTCTTCGGCACCGCGCTGGGCTCCCGCGGCCACTCGGGTCAGTGCTGGCGGAGGCCGGGGCGGGGAGGCGGGGAGGCGGGGCCGTGCCCTCCTTGACGCCCGGCCGAGCCGTGTGGGGCGGGCACCCTGACCGTCGCTGTCCGTCCCCTTGTCACTTAGGCCGCTATTGGGCTGAGATCTCCGACACCATTATCTCGGGCACTTTCCACCAGTGGAGAGAGGGCACCACCAAAAGTGAGGTCTTCTACCCGGGTGAGTAAAGAGGCTCTGGCAAAGCGTGGGTCTCCTCACGCCGGGAGCACCCACGGTCGGAAAGGGAGTGTTGGGAAGCCCTGCCCGTGGTTTCCTTCCTCCCCGCCCACCTGAGCCACGGGTGGCTGGTTGGGGCAGAGTGGAGGGGCCCTGCGTTTTCTTCTGGTAAAGGGAAACCGAAGGTCATAGCTTCCTGTCAAACTTGTCTGATTTTTATCTATTTTACCCAACGAATACCCCAGCGATGGGGAGTGTTGGGGACACAGCTGGTAATCAGAAATGCTCTCATACCCAAAAGATAAGACAGTTGTGTCCCTCCATCCCATTTTTAAATAGTGAAACAATTTACATTAAACGGTGGAACCTTGGACTTCTAAGTGAATTTGAGGTAAAGTGTAAGCACAAAAGCATTGTGATTGAACAGCTTCCTCTGAAAGCCTCACAAATCTTGTAAGCACCCCTCCCCGCCTACCCAGCCCAGCCTAAGTTTACCTAAATGTCCTCTGGACATGAGTGAGGTTTGGGACTTTATGTTTCCATGACTTCGTACAATAGCCCACGGCTGTGTGGGGTAGCCTGGTTTCCACCAAGAGAGGACATGGGCCAGGTGGTGCTCCAGCACATGTGGGGCTGATTATGTGGTCCTCTTTCCTCTCCCAGTGGAAGACAAGGCCAGTGAGGTCGGGCTTTTTCCTTTCCTGAAGCTGTGTTTTCATCTCCCACCCTTACATAGCCCATGGGCCAGGGAAACCCCGAAGTAGAGGGCCAGGGCAGAGACGGCCTCCTCATGTATGTGCTCCCTGTCCCCAGGGGAGACAGTGGTGCATGGGCCTGGTGAAGCAACGGCTGTGGAGTGGGGACCAAACACATGGATGGTGGAGTACGGCCGGGGTGTCATCCCGTCTACCCTGGGATTCGCACTGGCTGACACCGTCTTCAGCACCCAGGACTTCCTCACCCTCTTCTATACCCTTCGCGCCTATGCCCGGTGCCTCCGGCTTGAACTCACCACCTACCTCTTCGGCCAGGACCCTTGACCAGCCAGGCCTTGAAGGCAGACCTGTAGACGGATGGGAGTGGGCAGGCCCACACACGTCCACTGGCGGGAGCCCATGTACACAGGCAGGGACCTATCACGCCGTGCCAGTACTGAGCTCCTGCTGTGCTGGGAGGGACCTACACGCTTATACATCCAGATCCACGGGAACAGTTTGGGACATACAGATGCCCGAACCTGTATGCACTGCGGGATCATTCACTCACACCCATCCAGAGAGGGAACCCGCTGTATTCTAAGGGGGCCAGTCGTGTTTGAACGCACATATCACAAGCTTGACTCGCAAACTCAGGCCTGTCCAGAGCTCTCTGCCTGCAGTTAGGGCTCTGGAGTTAAGAATGAGGGTGGGTGTAACACTGCCTCAGTCTACCCCTCAACCCTGCAGTGTTGGGGCCGGGAGCTGCCCTTTGGAGGCCCCCTTCCCCTATGGCTACGCGCTCTTCCCGTTCTCTGCCCTGCCCTCACCATATGCCTTATGCCCCTTCCGCTCCCCTGCTATGCAAGTGCCCCCACGGCTTGTCCTGCCCCTTCAGTAACCAAGTCAGCCGGGGAACCAGCGGAATGTGGAGAGTCCGAAGGTGAAGCGCTTCCATCCCTGAAAGACCCCCGTTCCTCCCTTGGGGGTGTGGTGGGAAAGTTGGCCTCCACCCTGGCTCCAAGGGTCCACCCCTGGCCTAGAGAGGGCTTTTTCTGTGCGTGTGTGCACACCCCATCCCAGTTTCCAGACGCTGCCTGTCTTGCGTTCTCTGCCCATCTGTCTCTCTTAATAAAGACTTGTCAAACGGTTCCGTTTCTTTGTGTCTAAGCATCAGGCAAAGCTGGTAACTCGTGGGGGACCTCAGGAAGGTCTCTCACTTGCTGTGCAACTGAGTTACTGCGACAGTGGCTTTGGACGGTAGCAGAGCTTCCTCTTCGAGTGTGCCTAGTCATCTAAGAGGCCCATTGAGCCTACAGATTATTGGACTCCATCCCAGTAGATCAGGGGTTTTGGGGTTGAGGCCGTGAGGTTAACATATGTGATAACATCCTTTTCAACACAGTTGAAAAGAGATTGGGAATGTCACAATCTGAGCAATTCAGGCCACAGTGCAGTGGTGCGAGTCTTGCCTTTATACTGCCAAGTACAAATCTGAGAACAGGTCGTGCGAATCCAGCCCTCGATGGCCACAGGGTGGCGGTGTGCCCCTACTTTTGAGCTGAGGAAAAGGTGCTGTTCTCGGGATTCTCCCTGCCTCGGTACTGTGCAAGTCCCTGCCCAAAGCAGCGGCTCCTGTGCTCTGTGGTCTGCCTTTGGAGCCCCGGTTTCTCTGGGGTGCCTGGGGTGGAAAGCAGACGTACCACCTGGTGCTGTATGAGGTCGGCCTACACTCCCAAAGACGGCACTTCTTAATTTTTTCAGATGCCTTCTTACTTTTTGTATTTTTGGCTGCCTTGTCCCAGCATGTCCTTCTGAGGTTAAATAAAGCTCAGGTCATTCTCATTTCTTAAGTTTCCTAGTATTTAAAAAAAGGGGAGAAGTGTGCTTATAAAATTATGTATTTTAAATTTAACATTTTCCCAGTACTGGGGATTGAACCCAGGACCTTTGCACTGAGCTACAGCATCAGCCTTTTTATTTTTCCTTTCTTTTCCTTTGTTCCCCCCACCCCCCCGCCGAGATAGCCTTTTTTCTTTTTCCTTGAGTCCCACCAGGTTGCCCAGGTGGGACTGGAACTCGAGATCTGCCTGCCTTAGCCTCCCAGAGTGCTAGGATTACAGATGAGCACCAGCACACCTGGTTTATTTTCCTGTCTTGAGACAGGCTCTTGCTAGATCACAAAATTGTTCAGGTCAGGCTCAGACTTTTTATGCTTCTGCTTCAGCTTCCCAGAGTGCCCAACTTTTAAAGTCTGACATTCTGATGAACACAAGAAAGACCGCACGTATAACCTCACTTGGACACAACATCAAAAGTCTAAATGTATGACTCTGGCTCTGGGCGTGGTGCTGCACATCTGTAATCCCAGCACCTGGGAGGCTGAGGCTGAGGCAGGAGGGTCACTTCAAGTTTGAGGCCAGCTTGGACTACATAGTGAGTTCAAGACCAGCCTGAACTACATAATGAGACCCTGTCTCTAAACAACAGAAAAGTGTATGTCTCTGAATGAACGCGAAGCCTAGGCAAACTGACTGCGTTGATCCCCCACTGACTACTGCCACATTGGCCACAGCAGGCTCGGCAGGCACAGGCCAGCCTCTCCAACCCCGGGTTGCAGAACCACGCCTCCTTCCCCTGACCCTCCTTGCTCAGCTCTACCGCCAGGCCCAGAGCACACAGCTATCAGGGATGCCCCAGTGACCCCTCATCCCTCCCACAGAGAACTAGGTTCCAAGGCCCCTCCCCATCTCTTGATAGGTGGAATGGTCATTTCACAGTTCTCAACTTTCTTGCTGGTTGGTGCTAGAATTGAACCCAGTCTTGTATGTATGCTAAGTACGGCTTCTTCCACTTCGGGAGCTACATCCCAGCCTGTGTTTTCTGACGCAGGTAACCACTCCTAGGACGCTTTCAGCTTCTAGGACACTTCTTTCCCTTCATTGCCTCTTTTGCTGAACTTTCTTATCTCCTCAACCTCCGGCCGCCTAGCACTTCGTCCTCAAACCTCTTTTCCACTTCAGACCCCTCCCAAGTGCTCTCATATTTCATGACTGAATACCATCTATGTTTCTTGGCTCCTAAGTCTTTGTGTCGAATCTCTTCCTGTGCTCTAGCTTTGGACAGCTTACTGCTTCTGTCTCTATTGAACATCACCACGTGGTTGCTTAATAGATATTTTAAACTTAAAATGTCCAAAACAAGCCAAGCACAATGGCTATTCAGCATCTGCCACCTAGGAGGCTGAGGCAGGCTTATCTCAACTTCAAGGCCAGTTTGTAGCTCAGTAGTAGAGTTTTTGCTTAGCATAAGGGAGGTCCCAGGTTTAATACACAATGATTCAGGAGGCTGAGGAGGATAACAAATTCAAGGCCACTGCCCGGCAAGCGCAAGGTTGTGAGTTTGATTCCCAGTAGGAAAAAAAAAAAAAAAAAAAAAAAAAAACAAATTCAAGGCCATCTTGGCAATTTAGCAAGACTGTGTCTACAATTTTATAAAGGGCTGGGGCTGGGTATAGTGGCACACATCTGTAATCCCAGTATTCAGGAGGCTGGGGCAGGAGGATTGCCACCAGTTCAAGGCCAGCCTAGGTTATGTAATGAGTTGAACTTTTTTTTTTTTTTTTTTTTTGAGACAGGGTCTCACTATGTAGTTCAGACTGACCTTAAACTCACTAAATAGTCCAGACTGGCCTTGAGCTGGTGGCGATCCTCCTGCCTCAGCCTCCCAAGTACTGGAATTACAGGTGTAGAGGCATGTGCCACTATACCTGGCTTTGTAGTGAGTTCAAGGCCAGCCCGAACTACATAGCAAGACCTTGTCTCCAAAAAAGAAAGTGGGGGTGCTGGGGATGTCGCTCAGTGGTAAGCCACTTGCTTAGTATGGGTTCAATCCCCAGTATAGAAAAGGAAACAATGTCCGAGGCAAACTGATTCTCTAACCCTACACCTCCCCCCTACCCTGCAGTCCTTACTGTCTCAGCTAAGGACACCTCCATTTACCCAGCTTCCCAGACCAAACATCTTGGCATCTGCTTAGACACCTCTCAATATCTCACATCCTACACCGGAACCATCAACTCCTCAGTTTTGTCTTCAAAACACCCAGGTTCTCACCATTTTCTCACCTCCACTGCTACCATGCTGGTCCACGACACCATCAGCCACCTTTGTCTGGCTGCCGCAGTTGTCGCCTGATTCCCACGCTTGCACCAGGTGTGGAGGCTGGCCACACAGAAAGGCCGGTGTCTGCTTGTGGAGATGTTCCAGTGATTTCCCACCTTGTCCTGTCCTTTCACCCCTCCACAGCCTGCCCCAAGGCCCGTGTTACCTCTGACCAGACATCACTAACCCAACCCAGTGGCCCCTGGGCGTCTCTTCCGACACACTGAGCACCTTCTACCTCAGGATATTTGCACTGGCTACTCTGGCTTCAAGGTTCTTTCTTGGACATCCACAGAGCGCTTGTCCTCCCCCATTTCTATCCTTGCTTACCATTTAAGTTCAGGTCTTCCCTTACCATTTAAGTAATGCTACCCCTTGTGTGGTTTTTGGTTTTGGTTGTTGTTTTTTGGTTGGTTGGGTTTTTTTGTTTAGCTTTGTTTTGTTTTGTTGCTTTTTTGGTGCTGGGTTTTAAACCCAGGGCCTCCTACCTGCTGGGTAAGAACACTTTGGCTGAGCTGCACCTCCAGCTCCCTGCACAAAGGTTTTGATCTTCCTCCCTTCAAGAGGTGAATCCTAATTTCCTTCCCCTTGAGTGCAGCTAGACTTAGTTATATACTGTAATAAGTGATACACGTGTTTCAGAAGTGATTGTGTGAGTTCCTCTAAGCCACAAAAAATACTACTGCCTCTTTAGTTTCTTTTGGATCACTTTGGGGAAACAAACTTCCTTGTCAGGAGGACACACAAGCAATCCTACATAAAGGCGCGGGTGGAGAGAAAAAAGGGCCCTGTCCATAGCTTTGTGGTGCATTGCCCTGGAAGTGGCTCTTTCCACCCCAACCAAGACCTCAGATGACTGCAGCCTTGGCCAGTATTTTTACTACAATCTCATGAGAGGCAATGAGTCAGAACTACCCCATTAAGCAACTTTTTTTTCGTTTTTCTTTCCTGTTTTGATTTTTCAAGAGAGGGTTTTACTGTGCAGTTCAGGTTGGCCTGAACTTGTAGCAATCCTCCTGCCTCAGCCTCCTGAGGGCTGGGATTACAAGCGAGCACTACCACACGTAGTTTAACCCAATCTTGAATCTCAGAAAATGTGAGATACTAACTTGCGTGTGTGTGTGTGTGTGTGTGTGTGTGTGTGTGTGTGTGTATGTGTGTATTTCCAAGACTGGGGATTGAACCCGGGGCCATCACCCAAAACTACAACAGAACTACATCCCCAGCCCTTTTTTATTTTTTATTTTGTGATAGAATCTCACTGAGATGCCCAGGTTAAGCTCGAACTTACAATCCTGCCTCAGCCTCCTAAATAGCCAGGATTAGAGGCGTGTACCATTGTTCCACTCTATGTTTGTTGTTTTAAGCTTCTAGGCTTGGGGGTGATTTCTTACACAGCAACGGGTAACCAGTTTGCCCTCCCCTTCCTATCCCTTCCAGCTCAGCCACCATCCCCCGTGGTGTGTGTCACCATCTGACACAGTTGTGTTTCCCTCCCTAGACTGGTGCCATTATAACAGGCGTTTTTCCTGATCCAACAGTAACTGGCATAAAGTAGGTACCCAATAAATATGTTTGATGAATGAAGCACTGGTTTGGAGGTCTAGGCCAGTCTGTCTGCCTTTGCCTCTGTGAGGCCTAGGAGCAGGCTGTGCCCGTGGTCTGAGAAGCAGTGTTTTGTTTTCACAGGTGAAGCGGGAGAACCCAGGACCCAGGAGGCCATTCCCTTCCCTCAGCCCTCCTCAGATGTGGCCCTTCTGGTCCCGAGCCAAAGGCGGTTTCCTGCTTACCGTGTGTGCAAGCGTGTGTGTGTGTGTGTGTGTGTGTGTGTGTGTGTGTGTGTGTGTGGTGGTGCTGGTGGTGGTGGAGATTGAACCCAGGGCCTTCACACTGAACTACATTCCCAGCCCTTTTTTATTTTTTATTTTGAGACAAGGTCTCACTAAATTGCTATGTTGCCCAGACTGGGCTCAAACCTGTGATCCTCCTGCCTCAGCTTCCCATAGTGCTGGGATTATAGACAAGTGCCACCATTCCCAGCTTGATTCATTCACTCATTCATTCTCCCCCCACTTCTTTTTCACTTCCCAGCCTCCTCTCTCCTCCACCCCAAACTCTCTAAAAAAATAACCTCCAAACTCTCAAAACTGGAATTTCCCCTGCCAGTTCCTACCTTTCCAGGAATCTTACCCATCTCTGTCCCCAGGAACCTCTGAGCAGCCGGAAGCTGCGGGAAGGGGCATGCCCAGGACAGCAGCATTTCACAGGGGTCTTGGACCTCTGCTCCAAGGCATGACATCTGCCTCTACTGGTTCACTGATTCTCCCCTCCTGAGCCAGGCTCAGCTCTGCCCCTAGAGAACTCAGGACAGACAGACAGCCACCTTGAAGGGGGCATCGGGCCGGATTCGGTTGGAGCACCGAGGCTGGGGGTGCTGACGGGCCGTGAGGTCCGGTGTCTGAGGTGAGTGGCCCTGAGCCTCCGCGTAGGCAGGGATAGGCCACAGGGACAAGGATGTAGTGCTGCAGCGGGTGGGGGCTGGAGCCAGGGAGCAAGGAGGGACAGCCGGCAGGATTCTGGTGAGAGCAGCTGGTGGTCCCGGCCAGGGCAAACAGGCCAAAGGAGCGGATTGCCTGGGGGAGGAGGAGACAGCACAGAGCTGGTGGTGCAGTTGTGCATCCATGCCACATGTCACCCGAATGTCACCTGCTATTCGGTCACCACAGGGTGGGCCTCATGCCTTTCCTAAGCAGGTCCCTCTGGACACAGAAAGCAGCGAGGACGTTTGAGGGGGCCTGAGAAGGGAAACTGCGGCCTGCCTCTCAGAACCTCCACGAAAGGAACAGGATCTGGTGGGTAGTGAGAGGCCAGCAGGCACAAAGCCGTGTGTCTCCAGCGGGCTCGGGAGACAGGTTTGGAAGTCAGGCACACACGGGTGGAGAATATGTGAAGACAGGCAAAAGGCTGACACTGCGAAACGGTGACGTGCACCTGAGGTTCGTAATACTCTGCTCTTCTGCCGTGTATGTTTGGAAACCCACTATTCGACGTCCAAGGAAGCCGAGTGTGGGGGCACAAACCTGTAGTCCCGGCGACTGGGAAGGCTGAGGCAGGAAGAGCGTAAGTTTGAGCCTAGCCTGGGCAATTTAGTGAGAACTTATCTCACAATTTAAAATTTTTGAAACGGGCTAGGTGTGTAGCTCAATGGTAGAGTGCCCCTGGGTTCAATCCCCGGCACCAAAAATAAATGAATAATAAAAAAGCATGTCAAGAAATTTTCAAAAAGACCAAAGCGCAGGCGGCTGCGTAGGTGCGCACGCGGTGTGTGTGCGCTGCCGCGGGGCTGCGGTCAGCGCGGGGACCCCGGGCCGAGCCGCGCACACCTGTGCGCACTGCAGCGCCCCGCGAG